CGATCTTTACACACGACGTAACGCTGAAATGCGCCAGCATTTTTTCTATTTGGTTAAAACTTGATGTTTTGTCGACGATGTAACCAGATAATAGCAGGTGTTGAATGCTAGCCATCGATTTATAGCTCGATGTTCAATATTGTGCTTTCGGTACGAAGTTTCAGAGAACGACGTTTGATAATTTTTATGATAGAGAATACACCTGACATTTGGTGGTGTTGTCTTTACAGAATAGGAAAATCCAGATTATAAAGTTGCCGTTGAGCATTTATAAGAGGCTTGTGCACTGAGCACGGCTCCACAATTGTTCATTGCCTTCATCACAGCTTCCGTTTGGTCGAAATGCATGGTAATCTTTAAGTATATGGGCGTCAGGTATAGTGGCATCTATTCTTGGGGACCTTCGTTACTGAGCAGGTATAATTAATTTCTCTGCGACAAAATAGCACTTCGGAATTTAGAACAGAAAACCTATGGGGTCTATGGGAGTGTCATATCCGTGCACCTTTCCATGATTTAATGAGAGGTAAACTTTGCCGTTGGATTTCTAAGAGATCGAAGCACATAGAGTGGATTTTTCACTATCCACTCGATGTGGTGATTATTTCATGCCACCAGTAGTGGGTACTTAGGTGCTGTAATTTTCGGCAAAAGTTTTTGTATGTTTACACGGAGTTATGACAAGCCTCTTGAACTCCAGATAGAAAATGGATTTTCGTCATCAGGATCACATCTTATAGTATCTCTGGGGAGGTTTTAAAGCTCGATCCCAAAATGGTCGTTACCTAACGTTGATTTAGCTCACCCCAAAAAGTTTAAATGTACGCAAACATTGAAAAATGAAGAATATACAAATGTATGAATCAGCTACTATTCTTTTCTTATCGCTGTCGTGAAGGTTTTCGACGTGATTCCTCATCAGCGGCTTTAGTATTTCGTCTTCTGAATTTTCTGACTCTGTCCTTTTTTTTTCTTAGTAAGAAAAGAATCCTTTACGAAAGGATGAGCTGTCCGATCTTATGTAAACTACAACGATAGAGACTAAGTAAGAATTTCAATTCACTTTGATGTTGTCAGTTCTACTACGGCGTTCACCAGAAAATCCTTGCATCGTAGCTCGAAATGACTGCGACTGCGAGCAAACATTAACATGTTCATGATTTTCATATGGAAAGAAAAATAATGCATCTTCTCACACGATAGTTGCCATTTCAGTTACCTGACCAAGATGTGCACATCTTCGAATGTTTTTGTCATGTCAAAGAACACGTTGAAAGTGTCATACAATTTTGCAAGTGCTCTTAGCTTAACTGAATGAACTTGGAGGATAGGACGAAAAGGACGAAAGGCACTAACGAAAACAAAAATGAAATATTTTAATACTAACTTCTTCACGGTTTGGTATTGGAGGATGAGTCCGAACAAATGTAGCCATATAGGCGTTATTTTCACAATTTTTGAACAGCACACATTTGAAGGGCGTCGTTAATTATTCAAAAGAAGTTGGGTGGGTTTGACGATGGTCTTGAAGAGAAGGAAGCGAACTTCTTGCTTGAGGGCATCTGTGAGTTGCGTGCTTTGTACTTTTTAACCATCGTATTGTATTTTGACTGAATCGTTGTGCAGGATGCAATCTGCCTACATTCGGTCACATCCACTGACATGTCTGCACAGACTAAAAATCTGTAACAGAAATACGATAGTGGGAGTTAAAAGATTCAGAGAGGGAGGAATAGCAAGGTTAGGAAAACCATTCTGTGAATCCTTTACGACTCAGGGCAAGTATAATATCGTTTTTCTTCTTTGTTTAAACTCCTGTCCAATACTTCGGAGATGCATCAGCCATTATGAGACTCACTAACTTGAAATTCTTTAGATAAAGTACATCTGCAAAATACATATTTAGCGCATTTGTACATGGTCCATGGATAACTGGATGGTCATCCTTGACATGATATTTGTCCCTGAGTACTTTCTAGTATGAGTATCCTGTGTTCGCTTTCTTGCAATAGATTGGAGAGACGAATGCAATTCATGGATTTCACAGGATTTGTGGTTGAATAGCGCTTCGGCTCGAGGATCTGTTTTTTCTCTCTAATCTGATATGTACAATGTTGCTCGTCACTTGTGGTTTTGCCAAGGATTTCGAGATAGCCATTCTAGAAAGCCCTCAAGTCTGCACTGCTGACACTCGCAGAATCATCTGGATTAGACTGCATCGATCTCTGCGATTATTTGAACCACGAATTGGAACCGACGCGGCATATCGTATCCTAACTGCCTTTTTATAACAAGCTGAAAACGTATTTCAACGAAGCTCAAAAAACCTTTGAAAATTTGCCCAGAGGTTGACGAATCTTGACCATATAAAAGGTCCAGAGTCCAGATAAACATTTGTTTCAATTGATATTGGTGATGAGCGTTTGAAGGACTTCATGTTTTATGGCTGATTAATCTTAACCAACCATTCTACAGGATGCGTGTACAGTCACTGCAATCTCAAACACAAATGAAAACTAGCAGGATCAAGCAACGTCGGAACTCATCGTCATACCTCCCGTTATTTTTCCCTACAGAGTTTCTATAAACAATAAAGATAAATTAATTGTTAAAAAACAGATTAGTGTGGAATTTTAAAGATTTTAGGTAGAGCTGCGGAAAACGTGCTCGACAAGGAATCTCTTTTTTCATTTAGACTAGAGATTAAACTATCATAAACTATAAATGCAGTGCATCCGTGATGGCTTTCTTATACACAAAGAAACAAATACAACAGGTATGTCCTTCAGAAGGAAACTACTTAGACTCTTTAACTTAAAAAGGCAATCAAAAGACGGGCATTTTTTTGTTTATTGCGATAGGCATTAATTGATATGCGTAGCGCAGTGGTTAGAGGTACTTAGAAATACATTTCGTCTGTGGTTCGACAACAAGCCCCAAACTAATCTAGCCTTCCATCATTCCGGGTGCAGCAAATTGTTGCCAAGCTCTTCTGAATAAAAACACTGGTTTGGTACATAAGTGTGCCTCACAAGCATTGTATAGGCCAAATATGCATTCACTCCTCTCTGCGACATGTATTACAGTGTAGTGCAAACCACGTCCAAAGGTCAACACAAAATGCTTTATTTTTGTTTATTTTTTGTTACCTTCTATTACAACAGTAGTTCTAAAGTAACATCGCACCAGCTAGAAAATGGCCTTTGTTCATAATCAGGTCCCTATTGAAGAAGAAACTCATGCGTTTCCACTGGCGGCTAGGTATTGTGTAACAGTGGGTGTTGGTCGGTCGTGGATCACGGGCGTAGGACTGAGGAGGCAGGGAGGAGGAAGGTAGGGGAGGAGCCGAAAGGCCGGTGGCGGCAATCCGTTTCCTATCGCATTAGCCTCTTTGCAGTTCGGCAGGGCCGGCGCCGAAGCAAAGACTAGCAATTCGTCTTCTTCTTCTAAACGAACGCTTTTCGACTACGTAGCCGAGTTTTTCACCGCCGTCGCCGTCGTTGTCGTCGTCGACGTCGTCTTCGTCACATTGCTGGCATCGACATTGGTATTGACACTAGTCAGCTGCTTGTTCCGTAGTCAGCGATGGCGAGTCGTCGTCAACGGCAATTTGATCGCAAATACAGTTCATACAGGTCATTCAGTTGATATGGAATGTTTTCGATTTTATCTGGAACTATCACTTATCTTTATCCTACATACATAAGTCGTAACGTGAAGAAATGAATAGGTATCCAATGCAACGTGGGTTTTTCCACCGAACTTTGTTGCAGATGTGTAACAAAGAGTGCTCGAAGTTTACCAAATAGTGTGATTGTCGATACCAAATGTTATCAAGCTTTTGTTACCACTAGTACTCCCATATCACTCAGAATTTCCGTATTTTTGGTCAAATTGCCAAAACTCCTAGGGTGAAATGGTATCAGAAGCCACCCTTGGTGGTTACGGTTCGATCCTGAATCAGGATCAACCAGTCCAGTCCTTTAATTTGAATGTGATCAGTGAAAATATTCCCATATACATGAATTTGTGGGCATGGTTGTCGTACAGTCCACTTCCACGTACCAAATGTATTGATTATTACTTAAGGATTCAATTTTACAACAATCGCAACTGTATATATTCTGTTTTCAAGACAATGAACGCTTCACATATTCTTGGGTAATGAATTTTAGAAACATGGACAACCTCTTTATAAATTTTTTCAAACGCGCAACATTGTTTATCGTCATTTTGATCCAATTTGAAGCTCAAATATCCCAGTAGACCATAATACGTTGTTAATGATTATTTCCTTTTTTTGCTAGTTCTTTCCTTTCAATTGTCCCTTGTCTTTTCTTCACCGATCACCGAAGTCAAGAGGAGAATCGTCGCTAGCCCGTTGAGGGAGAGGGAAGTTCTTCGATAGAGTTTCGTCGCTATGTTCTTTCCGTGGATGCATTGCCGACGTAGCTGTCCAGTTGTGGATTTATTTGCGATCAGCTCTCAACGCTGCACACCTGCTGAGGGTGCTTGACGATCAGAGAGAAATATGAAACACTCCTAGAGAAAAGATCTCAAGAAAAAAGTTTCTTTACATTGTTTGCATACAAGTTGCGAGATCTAAAGTGTGAAACCGTATTTGAGCGGATTTTGTTCAACTGCTTAGAAGTATGGTGTTGGAGATCTACCTCATTCATTGTGGCGAAAATCTCTATTATACAACTCAAGCCGTCGATGAATAGAATTTGAGAGAAACTGCTAGGATCGACTGCATCTTTGCAGATCAAAACGACGGCATCTGAGTTCTGGAATTCCTATCCGGCTACGACTGCAGTAATTGTAGGCGGACACTTGCCGAACTATTCACAGAGTCATACTAACCATTCTTTTACACTTTTACACATTCGTTGTCATCACTCTTTACATTGAGTATGGATGTCAATCAAGATATATCCGGATAAAAAACATCGACGCAAAACATTCATAGATATTTGGCGGAGGTTGGAGTGAACGTTGGGATGTTCCATCTGGTGGTCCTCCTCACAAGTGACCGTAGTGATTAGGGAGATGGAATATTATAGTCAAGAACGATGTTGGAATATTTCTTTATGTGAAAGGTCTTCTCTATTTGTAAACAGGCAGCTTTCTAGAATAATGGAAAGAAATGATTTTTAATGGAGGGAAAACGATCGTCATCTTAAAATTGGGCTTTATCTTTTGAAATAAGCCGAATATTGCCTTCTTAGTTCACAAAAAAAAAAACAACGACCTGCGATCTTACTGCGTTTATCGTAACAAATTTTTACTAAATCTACTTTCTTCAGCGCTTTGCTGGCTAAAGGATCGAGAGAAAACACAAAATACCTTACGCTTTTATCTTTGTCTGTTCATTATTACTAGTGCATATAAAAGTGTAAAACAATGTTTGCTACTTCTTCCATCTTCACCCTGCGGTCGTTTCATTTCCATTCGCTGATAGAAGCATGATTTTTGAGGAGAAAAAAAGAGAAACAGGGAAATAATATATTTCCTTTCCGTTTTTGTTCACATATTTGAGTAAATAGACCTGCTGTTGAAGTTTTTGTATTTCAATGTAAAGTCCTTAGTGCTTTCGAAACTATCGGCTCAATCCCGTTGACGGGTGATTGCTGATGGCAAAGGATCGATAGAACTAGCTGAGAGGTAAGCAAAACGAAGGACCCGGATGGTGTGGTGGTGAAGTGCGCTGCTCCCCGGTAAAGACAACAGCGCGTGTTCGTTCCCCACCGCACACACCTTCGGTCCGGAGATTTTGCAAATATCTCAGCATCATTGAAGTTATATCGGCTAAAAGTTACCAGTTATCATTGTAGAGTTTTCAGAAAGTATACAGCAAGCGAAGATGTAAATTACGGCTCTCATTCATCTCGATCAGCTTTTCGATCCGAGTCGACAACATCACGTAGTGACACACGTGGACGTTCCGTCAGTTCCGAAATTATCACGGTACGAACGGAATCGTTTTGATTACTGGTGCAGTAACTGGTGATGGCAATCTGTGTCAGCGCTTAAAATTAGACTTGTTCGCCCTCCTGCTCTTTGGAAGCTACTTGTACAAGACTGGGAAGTAACGAATTCCAGTCATATTTCTCTTCGTAAATGGGCACGTGTATCGCAGTGGTTAGAGGTGCCCGTAAATTCACATTTGATCTTTGGTTCAATCAAGCGCAGTAAGAACACTCAGTCTGCCGTCCATTCGAGAACGGCAAATTAGTACCAGATTGCTCTGAGTGGATATAAACACACTGACGTGATACATCAGTAGGGCTTCTCATGAATCCAGCAACTTTATGGTATTACGAATGGAGTTTAATGCGTGGCACATAACCAACGTTGCGTTGGTCAACAGCGAACACCTTGTTCTTTACTGATTTTTAGTAAATTTTAGGGCTCAGATACAAGATCGTATCCAGTCTACATCGCTATCCAAGATTATCAACCAGACGCAACAGATGTGGAGAGTATTCCTTTGGAACAAGGTCAAATCGTCGAAGTACTTGACAAAAAGAATCCAGCCAGTTGGTTGGTACGAACCAAGGTCTGTCATTTTATCATCGTCTTCTTACGAACTCATCGGCAGTCCTGGAAGCACTCATACAGTAAATTGACTTATAGAGATGTGAATATTCAGGAGACTTCAAAGCTGAGATAGTTCAAGCCTCTACTAATCTTTGTGCAATTTGTGTCCATCGTTGGTTATTTGATTTGTTGGCTTAGACAGCAATAAAGAAAAGGGGTTCATTCACAGTTACTTATTTAATAGTTCTGTGCTATTCTAGATTTGAAATGTTAAATTCTATCAAATAGGACTGGCTTAGATTTATGACGTAAGATTTTAAAAGTCTCCTATCCTAAACCAATATTCACTAGGACGTCAACGATCTCTGTCTTTTGATAAAGAGAGATGTTCTGAATCGAAAGTGATGAAAACAAGTTGATGCAGTTCTTTTTCGTTTCGAATTTCAAAGTCGACAACTCTGTTCCTCTGTGGGTTCGTGGTGTCGAACTCTACACCTATGCGCATTTTTGTTAATTGTGTTTCATTATGTTTGCATTTATTCTTATTTTTACTTAAAAAATGCAGATAGAAAAGGAGAGGTAGCCAAAATGCTAAGCTTTCGAATCTCTTAGGCTCGTCCACCGCTGTCTGGGTGGATTCCTGGCTCATATTTCGAAACACCGACAGAATACTACAAGCAACGTCGACGAACACGCGAGCTGGATACGACAAACGCGGCAATGACCGAGGATCAGGAAGCGTTGCTCAAACGAGAGTCAGTGACTTTTCTAGGACTCTCATCAAAGCTTTTCAGGCTCATTTCATGCTTTAACTGACTTCCACTGGAGTTTACGTATTGGGAAAAATTCAAACATCTGTTTATCTATCTATTCAAACACCTGCTGTAGTATTACAGCAGAGTACTACTCTCATGCGAACTATAGCAGAAATATCTACCCTTAAGTATAACTGTACTCAGTTTCCAAGGAATGATGGGATTGCATTGGCTGCTCACCACACTGATAGTTATTATTAATTAGTATTATTTCTGGTTAAAACAGTGAAAAAATCGCCCTAAAGCTTTTCACAAGGACTTCTTCATTCCAAATGTTCACATAATTTTATCCATATGAACTGGCTGTCATTTGATCTAAAAATACTTCATCACAATTTTGTTTAATTTAAAACTCTTCATCATAAGGTTTTCTTTTCAAATTTCTCAATTCCGATTCAGTGCAAGAAACGCTTATGAGTCAACTCTCTTCATCTGACAGATGTCTTCTGTCATCGAAGTCGTTAAGATGATTGGAGACGCAACGCCATTATGTGGCTTTTTTACATTAGGAAAACGTCTTCTGATAATGTCGATTGGAAAGAAATTGATTCAAGGCAGTCCGATCTCTTAATTAATGAAAAAAGCGTCACCATTGGACTGTCTGGGGGCTTTTCACAAAAACTGATTCAGAACAGCATCAGCTGTTCAGACATTGAAAAAGAAAGAGAAGAAGCAAGCAAATCGCTGTATCTTCCATAAATCAATACGTATAGTTTCTACTACGAAAAGGGGGAAAAACAACAGAAATAGGCATAAATGAAATCACAACAGAAGTCGTATACCTCCAATGTTCTCAGTGCCGTGGGAATTTTAAGAGGTGAGGAGGCTGCTTTAGGAAGTAGTTGGTGTTGGAACACATTCAGTAAAACATTTTTCTATCAGACGCTACTATCTGGAAACTTTTTGTTGGATTTTTTTTCAAGTGGTCTGATCTTCTAAATGTGTTGTTGTAATCAATTTCCAGGTAGTATAGTTATTGTCGAAACAATTCGATGACAGCCAATGCTGCTTAGAATTCATTAGCTTTCGGAATCTCAATATGAATAACTAGCTCATTTTAGCTGAGGCTAAAAGCGCTTTAAAAGACTGTAGAGAAGCCCTTAAATTATTCTTGGTTTTACTTCGTTTTTTGAGGGCGTCGTAGACGTAAGTGAATGCAAGACCCACGTGGTTCTTGGTTAGATCCTATGCCTCTGGCCAATTGGTACCAGATTTGTCTGGGAAGGTAAGAATACTGACTTGACACATCGTTAGACCTTTGTCAGTCATTGTACAGGCCAGATATGCAGCCAGCTAATTCTGCGATGCTACGAATGAAGTTTAATGCATGGCACATCTTTAAGAGATTAGTCAAACAATTTATCAAAGTCAAACAACAAAAAACAAAACAATCAAACGATTAGTCAACAAAACAATTTATTCTTTATCTTTTATATCCGACCTCCAATTTTCAGACTATTTTGCATTGGCTATTTTTTTGGAGTCTAACCATCTATGTTTGATCTACCTCTTCATTATCTGAAGATGTTTTCAACATTGAGATGTAACTAGCTATTAGAGCCTTAGCTTTATAATTTTTGCACGAGTGCATAGGTATCTACAGACAAATTCCTCTTCCGGCTCTCACGTCATGTTCACTTTTTACTACTTGTGTAGACGAGTGAGACGTTGTTTGTAGACGATCGGATTAATTCAATGCTTTCTGGGGTATCCACAGGGAAAGGAAGGTTGATAGCGTGAGCGATCATGCAGCACACTTCCACTCATCATACAAGCAGTTTCTATACAGCCGTTATAATTTCCGAGTTATTAATAGTTAACCCTACGAGAAAGCGCTAGTTCATGCAGGAATGAGAAAGGCACTACAGGATACTGTGGTATCCTAACCTTCCAGACCAATGTAAATGTCGAAAATTGTTGTCCTACACACTTCCTGATTTCTAAGATTTGAGATCATTTATTTATTTCATCTGTATGAAATGTTTTCGCATCTACTCTGCTAAACCCAGCTCATCTTTCATTTGACCATCTTTCCTTCATTGGTTCGTCGCCATGCATCATCAAACATCCACGAAAGAGTTCAGTTTTGCTTGCGAGTTCGGTAGTTTCTTGCGGAATTTTCTTGATGAATTACATTGAATTCTGGTCGAAACGCTTGTCGTTTCGTGAATCCTAGGATTTACCTTTTAGAATTCTCTCAGGCCTTCATCAGAAGTAGCCGCTCTCCTTTACGGCTAAGATTAGCTTTTGCTACACAGGTCTGTTGAACTCCTCTAACCACGGAGAGATAGGAACATCGTTGGCTGAGAAACCTTATAGACGTTTCGATATCTTTGCACACCGATTCTATGGAAGGAATTCTTCGCAGTCTTTGAAATCAGTCATTCTTATAGCTGAAAAAAATTAGCGCCTTCTAGCGCTTTTCTGAATCATCTTGAATTTGTGACAGGGACTTAAGGCAGTTAGCCGCATAGACAAATTAGCTAGGTGTCATCTGTTCCAATAAACGCGGTCAGCTCAAGTTTGTGGCAAGCTCCAGCTCGTTCGATAACGAATGCATTTTGTTTACTGGGCAAAGGATGGTATCAATTATAAAGAGATGTAGAAAGAATTTTCAAGTCTTTTGAACACAAGATTTTGCCCCTTAATTTTCCCATTAATCACATGCATGTGCAGTTAAGTGCCTGGAGTTGAAAGGAATGGAAAAAAAAGGAAGAAATCAATAGACATTTCTCAGCTAAGTTAACGAAAAGTTGCAGAATAAATCCAATGCATAAGGAAATCGATGTTCACTTTCCTGTCTTCTAATGCCGCTTGAATGTTCCGTTGACTCTTCTAGATTTTCTTGGGATAACTTTAGTTGACTAACTTGATATGAACTTTAAATCTTATTTGCTTTATTATGCTATGCATCCTATCCTACGAGGGAATCAGGTAAAATAGGCGAAATGCCAATAAATTTATAAAAAAGAGTATAAAAACACTTTTGGGTATGTGCTAGGATTTAATATAAAAACGCAGACCTCTTCACGAGCAAAGTGTTTATACTTTCTTACTTCGATGCTCAGATGATCGGTTGTCAGATGTCGTGTGGTCCTAGAATATCTTCCGTTCGTTTCGTTGTTTTGCTGTTATCATCCACGAAAGTGGCCGATCTCGTGCGTGGCATCGGTTGCTACTTGAAACTCTACTGTTTTCTCCAAATGACATTTCGAATGATGGGCTAGAGAGATTTTTCGTTCGAATTCGAGATAACCTGCCTACGTCATTCTCAGACCATCGGCATAGACAGTTGCAGGTCTTCGTTGGATTATAGAGAATCGCGTTTTTCCAGGACGGCAGTGTTTCGTGTAATGATCTCCGCTCATGTACGATGTGACAAGCGGAATCCAAGTGTTACTGGAAGTGACGACTCAATGGAAAGAAAAACTAGGCTGATCTATTGCGCACTGTTTCCTTCATAAAAGGGCTTTTTTAAATCTGGGATCAGTTTAGTTAGTCCATCAATGTGGACGAATGTTCGGAAGAACCGTCAAATCAATGATTTCGTTGCGCTTTAAACAATATATGAGTGAGGTCCGAATGAGTGGGCGAGTCGGCGGGCGGACCGCTTAGGGAGACGACACGAAACAAGAACGGCGTGGATCCTAACGGCGAGCGTTCTGTTCCAGGAAGAGTGCCTTCATTAGAAGAAATAGAAGATAGAAAGCAATTATTTATTCATTATAGTTACTCAGCAGAGGGGTCACATTACAGTTATGTACAGTTAGAAACTTCACAATGAGTAAGTTAAACAACCGATTCTAAAGAATTCTGTTGTGACCAAATATGTGGACATACTGTTAAACTTTGAATGCCAGATAAGAGTGAGGTCGATGAGATAAACGCAGATTTTGAGCTTTTGAGATAGGAGATGAATGAGAGGAACACTACAAATATGATGATTTTTCTTGAAGCACTAAAAATTCTTATATACCGTGCACTTTATTGTAAGGTAGGAGGAAGAACATTACAATAAAGTGGCTTAAGAGGACAGTGAAAGGTATGGAGGACAAATGTCTGGGTAGCCGATTTCGTTACGAAACTTTTAAGGTCATTAGATTGGTAGCGACTGCATTAATGTTTAGCATATAATTTAGAAGAATTTTTTGTAGATTTGTGCTCTGTTAAACCCTGTTGCTGTAGGAAATTATTTCCTTATATTACTAGAGCCCTTTAGGGGGGTTTTTTTTTTAAAAAGAAACCTCCAGAATTTTCTGAAGGATCTAAGGTACTCAGGAATTCTTTTTTCTTCAAAAATTAGTCGTAGAATAGTGAAAAGTTATTCTATTTAGTTGTTATTAGCTTCACATATAACATCCATTTCAAATTTGAAGAAATTTAGTTCCTAGAGATATTTTTTATTCAGAATTATATTTCGGGAAGAGCAGTTTGGAGGACAATGAAATTCCTAGAGACGTTTGAGCAGACGAATGTTTTTTTTTCTTGCTTGACTGACTTTTGCACACTTTCAGCCAAGTCTATCACGATCTTCTACGTTCCGAAGAGGAGTTTGTTGCTGAACTCCGTGCATGTGTTGACCATTATGTTCACCTACTTGACGATGTGAACGTCATACCGGCTGTCGCTAGGGAAAAGGAGAAGCTCACATTGAATCTTAATGAATTATACAATTTCCATGCAAAGTAAGCCGCTAGTTTTTAAAGGTTTTTTCTGTCTCTCTCGGATTTAGTTGATGATTATTTAGTTTGAACTAGCAAACTGAAAATTATCCTTTCTAAATATTAACTTTTTATTTGCTAGATGCTACGATTTTTATTGCAGAGCATTATACGAAATACAACCACAATGGTGCTGAGATATTTGAAGAACGCCGGACCGCAGCTGTTTGCTGTGGGGAACGAATGCGCTATTGTCCTTTCCGGGCAGTAACGCGTTCACACCATGCGGGTCCTTCGTTCTGCCACTCTCTCAGCCAAGTTAAAATTGTTATTTCAGTCATAGCCACACCTTAACTGGGTTCAATGCCGATTTACGCTGCACAGATCAATCCCGTTGACGAGTGATTGCTGACGGCACTGATCGATAGAACTAGCTGTTCCCCACCGCAGACACCTGTGGTCCGGAGTTTTACAAATGTCTCAGCACCATTGTGGCTATCTTTCTTAAGATACAAAACTGAATAATTTCAGCAATATATTCTCAATTAAAAAATTCGAAGAAGATGTAGAGGTAGTCCTTAAATTTTTCATGAAGACTGAAGCATGAGGCTCGAGAATGTTGAATATCATTTCTTTCAGTAGTACATTCCTTAAAGAGGTTTTTTTTAAACTGCAAGTTGATTTTCAGTGTTATGCTCAAAGGACTTAACTATTATTCGGACGATCCAGGAAAGGTATGTAGTATTTCGAAAACAAAGGAAAAAAATTTTCAATCTTTTATGGAACTTTATGCAAAAATTTAAATGAGAAATCCCATTCCATGAATTTTTTATCGGTCTTTACAAAAACTTGGCGAGTGTAGGTCGGTAGTGAGAGATGCTTTGCAATAGACACGTAGTCTTTGTTTGAATCACACACTACGAGCTCACCAAGCCTTCCATCTCTTCGGGGTCAGAAAATTGGTACCAGACTTACCCGGCAGGATATCAGCACTGACTTGCTAGGGCATCACGGGAGATTGTGGTAGCCAGATAAACGTTCAGTCACCTCTAACTATAGTTCATAAAGCCAAGCCCAGAACTCATCCCTAAGGGATTGGTCAACGCCGAGAGCTTTATCTTTAATTTCTCAAAAATAAACCACTGGTTTAACATATGGATGATAACAAACGAAGCCAAAAGAAAGATTAAGATCATAACCCTCTTCTTACTAGAACAAGAGCACGCGTAGTTTCTTGCGACAATTCCCATATGGGAAAATCACACATATAGTACGGTATCCATTAATATACAGAAAGCATAAGTTAATCCGTCTTATTGGAGCCAATAAATCTGTCTTCTGAATGCACCTGCTCTTAGGAGATGCTACAAGGTGGCCCATTTTTGGCTTTAACTCGCTTGCTTTAGCCCGAACTGTCCCTGCAGCAAGGCACGCGCTACGGTGTCCTTCATTAGCGCAACATGTGTCTCAAATGAGAAAGAGCGGTAGATACAACACTAATACAAGAGGTGATTATGAGAACGCCTTAAATAATGTTAAAAACAGTGATATGTTGAATAGGAAATGAGCAAATGAATAAAGAAGCATGCACGGTCATTTTATAGGTCGGACAGACATTCACTCGTCTGGAACGCGATTTCGACCATCACGTACAATTCCTGAAAGATCTCCCGGCCACCCTGGAACTTCTTGAGAAACAGCCATTTAAGGACTTTTTTCAGGTTTGTTTCTCAAATCCAATTTTTTAATGTGGTTCGCCTGAATAAAGATTTATAAAAGGCATTGTCATCTTCGTTCTCTGTCCGATTTCTCTTGTCCACAAGCGATGTGCGTCTCTCTATGTGTGTGTGTGTGTGTGTGTGTGTGTGCGTTCATGTTATTGCTAGCGGGATACTGTATTCTATTATTACAACACTATACGCTATAGTATTCTGCTGATATTCCATTTGTACTACAGCATGCTTGACAAAGGTTTATCCCATTTTACCCATTATTTTACTTTCGCTTGCTTTTCATACTCCTTTGTTCTTTGTTTTACGTTTTCTATTGCGATTCCACCTGAATTGTCACTCTAAGTCTTCTTTTGCCTTTCTACCACTTTATCTCTTAATTTATTTCTTTTTTTGGAATAGCTTTCAAATATAGAAATCCAGCCTTGCTTCATCAGTTTCGTTTTGTCTGATGCCCAGAAAGGAACATCTCTATTTTTAGTTCCGAAGACAAATTCACTTATTTTTGTCAAATAATCCTTTCCATAGTCAAATAACCCATACAGCTGTGTTCCTTAATATCACTAAAGATTTTCTTATTAAATCTTTTCGGCGCTTGCGAAGTCTTCTCCCTCCTCTTTCTCTTTTTGTGCATTGTTTTCACAAATCCATAGAGATATTCTGGTTTTCTTTTTCTAGAAAAACAGTTTGGTTGTTTTTCCTTTGCGACAATCATTTTTTACAGGTTCCCCTTTTAAAAGAAAAAACCCCATTCATCCCTTTTTCGGTTTTCTAAATTTCTTTCTTTCCGTTGCTTAAAAAATCTAACTGAAAACTGCACTAAGCGTTTTTTCGAAAGCTAATGAGAGTTTTCTTTCAGTTGTTCATTTTTTGGTTTCCATTCAACTTTTTTGAAATTTCATCCAGAACTCTTTAGGTCTCTTAATAATCTCGAGCTTCCTCTCGCATTCTCAATTCTCTTCGTCTTGTCAAAGTTTTTACACTCATAAAGCGTTGTTTGAAAAACGGCTAAGCATATTCCGTGCTGGTTGATTTATCATCGTTCATAACTATTTGCTTCTCTCATTTTTTATACTTAAGGATTTCGGGAAAAAAGAAATCCTGTTCCTTCGTTTTTCAATCGGACGCTCAACTGCTTTCTCTACTTCTCTGTTGTGTCTTCATTTTATTTTCGTCTTTTCTTTCTTTCCTTGAAAAACTTCGATCAGAGAATTAGTCTTCGTCTCCTTCATGACGTTCCTTCTTACAGATTACCGTAAACCTTTCAAATCATTAGCGATCAGAGATTTTGTGCATTTTCAAGTTTTTCCCGATCCGTGATTACCTTCTATGCTTGGAAACCAGACAAGGCTTTACTTCTATTAGGACTATTATATCAACATCATTGTGGTAATATTTTACATCATACCCTTACGTTGCCGTGAAAAAAGAATAGCTGTGAATAAAAAGTGACTATATTACTATTTTTTCCAAATTCTTCCTTTCCAAGAGGAGTTCTTCTCGAAACTCTCTCGTTCTTTCGTTCTTCTTTCCGTTGACCGCTTTTCTCCATATTTCATGCCATTCTCCTATGTTTCATTGGTCGTTTGAGATTTTCATAGGACTTTTGGTGATTTCTGCACTATTCTGATTTCTTCAACTTTAATTACCTCCTTTTCATTTTCCGTCTTCATTTTTTCTTTCTTTCATCCTTTTGCTATTGTTATCCATGACAAGAGAAGAATAAAATGGAATGATAGAGAGATGCATGTGCGATTGATTATAAATCATTGCCTTCCTAGTTTAAGCATCATCACCCCTTGTGTGAACACTTTGTAGCGCGTGGTATATTGGTGAAAGGTAGCGCTTAGATGTACATAATTCCTAGTTCTGTCCTACAAGCCGGAAAAAACCTCCTGGGTCGGCAAATTGCCTACTGGCCTTATGTGGGAGAATACAAACACCGAGTCAATATCAATAGGCCAGTGCCTGTCATATAAGCAAAATATGCATTCAATCACTTCTACAATGTTTAGTCTTCTTTATGCTCCGTTTACCAACGTTACCTCCACCTGTACATATATTCTCGTTAGTCCTGAGTTGTTCAACTACGAATCGGTAAAGTTTTCATCTATCTCCTTCACATTTCAGAGGAACTTCGTGAACACCATACAAGCAATGGAAAAAGAAAATAATAACACTTTTCATATAAGATTCCTGTTTGCTGTTTTTGGAAGTGGGCAAATTCAAATAACTTGCTGAACTCTACCATAACACAAATTTACTTTTAACTGAGCTTTTGGATGAAAACGACGAATACCTTCTTAGTAGCGGTTGCCGTTCAAGGTGGTGAGCACTCTGTCGTACAATAGGGAGGAGAACCATGAAGAGAGTATCGCACACACATAGACATTTGCAATTTCTGAAAACTTTTTCTATTAGAAGGACTGATTATATAGCAGTAAGCGGATAATGAAGTTGTAATCTCGCTCACTACGTGGGTGGCCCAACCTACCCAAGTGCTGGTTCGTTGCTACCCTGGCCAACCAAGCCTCTCATCTTCCCGTGGTCGGGGAATTGGTACCATGCTAATTTGGAGCAAGTTGAATTTCTCCAATAAATGCTGGCACGCCATAGAGGCTCTCTCGAGATCTCAGGGAATATCGACTCAACCAGTGACGTTCGTGAGGAAGACTAAAAATTCTTAGGCCGCAGCCGAAGCCAGGTGTAGAAAACTTCGAAAGCTCTTTAAATGGTGAATACAGAATGAATCGAATACAAGAAGTGCTGCCATCCACATAGTGTTATATATGCGATTTTGGGTCATTCAATAAAAAACAACTCAACTCTTTGATGCTCAGGGTACACTGTCGATTTTAAGCCTCTAACTTCATACACAAATACTTCAGTTCACAATGAAACTTATTGACGAAAACGAGGACGCTTATAAACTACACGTTTTTCCCTGCTTTTGAACGCCACAGGTCATAAGAATGCATTTCCAGCAGCTCCTTTCGACGTACATCGTTGCTGAGTTACAGTAAAACGAAGGAAGTTGGGTAGGAATGGTATGAGGTTAGATAAGGTTGCGGGAAGAGACAGGATTTATTTTTAGAATTCTTTAAACTTTTGAAGTCCTAATTCTGTGATGGGCAGTGCAATGAACTGCAGTGCAATCCCTTTCCACTGGATGGAAATGGTGATGTATTTTGAGTCCTTCTGGAATCCACTTGACCTACTTTCTCACGAAATCAAGGATTTTTTAGTGAACGATTTCATCTAAAGTGCACAAATTGTCGTCATTACTTTCGTTCGTTTGAATTTTGTTACGTGATCGATGTCCAATTTCGTATGGAACATCGTCAGTTGTCGTACAGAATCCACCCGTGTTTACTTACTTGGATGTTTGGACGGCCGACCATCACGAATAGTGTGGACCCCAGCACATTTTCCATTTGTTCCTTTCACTAATCCATTCATGGTCACACGGGACATTGTGATGAACGAACGAGTTATTTTTCTTGCTCAAAAAACAGCAGAATTCTATTGACTTTTCAAACGCTTTCTCTCCACTTCCGAATACAACTGTGTTCGAAAATTGTTCCCACTAATAGTTTATTTGCAACCTGGTGAGCTGATCAGCCTGTTCAACGTTCAACTGGATATCGTCAATGACAGCGGCTTCTCCCCGAAACTTCTCATCCTCAATTTGTGTCATTTCTACTTTTATTTCGGTAGAAATATCGTGCAAATTTTGAAAGCAACATCCTACCTATCATACTATCGTTAATGGTTAAATAGAGCGTTGATAGCGTTGCAAGAATTATTCCCACGTGTCTCAATGGTTGAAGGAACCCTAGAATACACTCGCGGCCGTTGGTTCGATATTGGGCCATAGCTCACCAAGTCCTCCTGCTCTCCTAGGATCGACAATTTTGTAGAAGACATGTCTCAGAAGATAACAGCACTGACTTTTAGGCTAGCGTAAGTCATTGTTTAGGCAAGAAATGCATTCAATCATGTCTACGAAATTTGATGAAACCCGATGCATGATTCTTCACTCAGGCACTGGTAAACACATAAAGCTTTATCCTTTAATTCAAAGTCGACTTTACTTTAACCTCCGTATGACTAATCAATCCTTTATTATCTTCATCCTTTATCCATTACTCTTTTTGGTAGTCAACATTGTCAATATGCGGCAAACGTAGAGCTAGAAAATTCTGAGAGCTCCCCTATTGTCTTCTCTGTCTCTGATGTTAATCATATTTCGCTGTTTCTCCACCATTCATCGGCTGTCACACAAAGCAGCCACTGTGTTCTCGCACAACACTTAGTGGCTTTTTCAACGCCTCCATATTTTTCACAAACTTCTTCATGGAATTTCAAAGGGGAACACCATGTCAATACGGGATTGTCTATCACGTTGAGCCCAAAAGTAGGCGTCACCATATCTACTATTTACTGATGACCCATCCCCACTCGTTATAGAATTCTAAAAATATCACTTCATTAAGTTCACTTCTTTGTGTCCATCATTCTCGAAGATTTTTGTCGAACCAAAGACCGTGCTTATACTACAAGGCTTCGATAACCACTGGGCTACTGGTGCAACATATAAAAGGTAACTAAGAATTGATGTCTGCTTAGGTTAGTGCTTTTTAACGAAACTGATTAACCGCAATTATCTTTGAGCGAAAGCTTCCAGAGCGTTTGCTGTAGAAGAATAGGTCGCCTTATGTACCCATCAAAAAAATTTGCGAATTTCGCAATATGTAGTGACAACGACACTTATTTTTCTTTCTAGAAATTGTGCAAAATTTAATTGATCGTTTCTACTTGAATTTTTGTAACTGTTAATTTTGTTCGAGCGATTCTGCGCGTTGAAACAAGGACACTCCAGTAACTAGGCGACCATCTTCATAGCTTCACAATTCTTTTTCATGGCAATATCCACAGGATCCCAGTTCGAAGTAAGCGACTGGATTGGCTTCTATGAGAAGCCATTGGAAACATGCTTTGGAAGCACCAGATTCTTCTAGACCGAAAAGTTTCCATTAAAATTTATACAAGTAATGTTCTTCGTTAGCCAAAACCCGTTACTCATCCGAAAAAGTTTTTAGTGTTTTAAAACAAGCTGAGGCTCCAGAAAATGTGGAACACAGCAGGATGCGGTTTCACTGAATACTAGAACAACGAACAGTTTTCGTTCGAAGCAATCGACCGATAATGTCTGTCCATTTTTCCATTTTCTATTTCCAACTTTTGATGAAAACACCTTGCAAAGAAAATCACTTAATATCATTTTGGACTAGTCCACAACGTTGCAGTATTATCGGTAATTTCATGAATAATACAAAATCAATAATACAGTACTACTTTTTGTTTCCTTTGAACAGCCATCTTCCACATCCACTGCGCGGATCCGAGAATATCTTGCGCTTGATTCGTTTCCTCGAACCGTCATACACGGATGTTCTACAACTTTCGCGTGTGCGCTCGGTTATTGCCTCAGATATTCTTTTCATCATGAATATCGTTGAATGTTGGTCGAGTCGATTCTTCGTAATGTCTTGAGGTAGCCGCGATTGGACGTTCCCACTTGAATAGCAGAAAATGAGCTTTTCTTCATAAGTCTTGTACCAATTTGCTGATCGCGGATGTACGACAGGTATGGTGAGCCTGGTGCAGGGTCGACCCACTACCTTACTCGTGATGGTCGGTATTATTATCACTTCGCTACTACCCTCTATAATATTATGCTTTAAAATAGAAAGGATAAATGATAAAGCCATCGGCGTCGACCAACCCATGAAGGTGTGCTGTACATTCACTCCGTTAAGTTGGAGGTGTATGAATGCATGTGTAGCCTACACTTGCGGTAGCCTACCGATGAATATTGCCATTGCTGCTGTCCTTCCAGACAAATCCACTACTGTCTTTCCT